GTGCTTTCCAGACAAAATTTGTGAGATTTGGTCAGAAGACGACAGTTGACAGTTACCAGTCATCCAGCCTTTCCCTTTCACGTCTTTGAATTTCTCCTAAAATTATGCCATCAAGTTTAATTCCAGAGAAAACCAAAAGGAAGGAGCATGTGCCCTGCTGGGTCTGAACCCGCTCCACGTCTCTTCAGCAGGTTGGAGCCCTCTCCCATGGTTGTCTCCTTTCCTATGCAGGGGGTTGGGGGAGAAAGGCCATGGCATAGACAGGTGCTTCCCTGCATCTCCCTGTACCCCTCTCTCAAACATCTTAAGAACCCACTTTCTCCTGCAGCACTCAAAAAGCAGGTTCTGAAGAGGCATCATAATTCAGAGTTTCAGCTGCAAGTTGTGGACTCTTACGGAAAAACTTCTGATGCTCTGAAGGAGTGAATTTAAACCAGTCTTCCTCCCATCCATTTTTTCCTCATGGCTTACAACTGCAGAAGCCAGACAAAGCAAAGGCTTGTCAATACCTTTTGCTTTTCAAATACCACGTGTTGGAGCTTTTACTTTTAAAATAGAAGTATGAAAAATTGACTTTTCCTGGTACTCCTGGGCTTTTGTAGGCTTTGATTAGCTAACAGAGGACTGCTTTTGTTTCTGTTAATGGAGTGGATGTCTGGCTTTGGTGGGTGTTTTAGTCTTGGCTTCCATTTTGTATAGAGAACCAACAGAAAAACTGAAGGAGGGCTATTTACGATAATAATAGTGTTAATAACATCTGCTTAGCCTTCGTGTTTCCTAACTGAAAGAAATTAAGGTGTTACGACTATATAAATAATTAAGAATGATGCAATTCATTTTATATCTTTGAATAATATTTCCACCATGTGGGAGGAAACTACTATTCTGGTTAGGCTGATGCTGAATTGCTTGCAGTGTAAATGTTGGAGTCCAAGAAATACAACAAGAAATGAGACAAATAATAGTTATTTTCATTTGTCTCTAAGGAAGTCTCAAAAACCATGTAAATGTTTTATGTTTTCATGAAAACACGTTTTATATTGCCCATAAAAACACAACTTTAAAATAAATTTGCTTGCATTAGAAATGTTCATTTTCGTTAGGCTCGTTACATACCTTTTAACAATACCACTGTCAAATTATGACAATGCTGCGTGACCCATAGCTCACACATCTGAGAAAACCTGCCCTTCCTAATGGAAATGGAATTAAAGTCGTATTCCTTTACTGTAAGTTGCACAGCATGTTGGATGAACAACATTGTGTGCTCATCTCTGGAGAGTTTAGAGTAAAACAGCTCCAGATTTTGTTTGGTGATCTCAGAGCTAGCTGAATAACTCCAGCCTTCCAGAGCTCCGAATGCTGACATGCAGGGAGATGAGACCTTTGGATATTAAGAACCTGCCCTGTGATACTGAAGGAGATTAGGTTTTGGAATCTATTCATTGACACAAAGGCCAGTGCTGAATGGAGGTTATGTTTATTTGTCTATGAAACCCCTGAGCTAGCTGAAATCACTTTCAGCATGTGCATGCATACATGTATTCTCTCACATTTAGCCAACTCCCTGTGATGCTTTGAGCCAGGAACAGACAACTTTCAGGGACTTGGCTTGAAAAGATGCGTGCATATAACACCCTCTGTCACATTTTACAAGAGGCTACAATCAAGCAGTCTTTATACTCGGATTGTCTAGACATTGAGACAAAGGGGGAGAGGACAAGTGAAAGAAAAAGCCCTTTTTGTCAGTCATTCACTTTGCATGAAATTCTCCTTCCCTTGTGTGCTGCCGTTGCCAGAAAAAAGATAAAGGGAGCAAAAACCAAACAAAAATCAAGAAACTGACAATTTGCTGGTTTTCTATTCATATTATTCCTAGTAGAAAGAAAATCTCAAACCACTATTTTTCTGAAACTACCAGTACATGTGTATTCCATCACCTGATTTACTATTTTTTTATTCAGAATTAATACTTCAAACAATTTTGGTTTTGCAGCTGATTTATTGTTTTAACTTTTTCCTCATCAATGTGCAAATGAAGTGTGTAGAGATGTCTTGTCAGCAGTTGTAAATTGGTATGTGAAATATTCCCAGATTTCAATGGAGATCTTTTTCCCCTGCTCAGCTGAACATTTGTGAATGAGCAACATGAAAATCTCTTTCCTCCCACTGCTTTCCCAGATTTCATGTTTCCCATCCTTTTTTCCTTTCATTCTTTCATTTTCATTTCTGCTTTTTCCCATGAAAACACATGGGGAAAAATAAGATGAGAAAGAAAGCTGGGAGGGGAAAGGGAGGAGGTGATAGAGTTTCACAGGGAGGTAAGTTTGTAAGCCAACAAAAAGGCTGATGAGATTCTTCTTTAAATAGTAAAGCCTGCGTATCACTTAACTGTTTTGAGGTGAATAAGTGTATGTTACAGCATTTACATCTTTTAACCAGTCTGGTTTAACTCTTCCCAGTTCAGACAGTCGGAGCCTCTATCTACCCTTTCAAGCTGGGATTTCCCTTGTGGCATCTCCCATGTAGCGTATGCTCACTGCCTGTGTTTTCGTCTCCACACATCAGAGGCATGTTTTCAGAGGCATAGCAGGGCCCAAGCAGTGAGTCACAGACTCATGCCTCCCACCTGAAGTGTCCCTGATGTCTGTCTGTGCTGACAGCAGTGAGATGAGATGTCTCACTGTGGGGCCCTCACCCTCCCTGTGGTGCTGCTTCACTCCCTGGCATTGTTCATGGGGGTCTTCTGCTCTGAGAGGAGCCAGAAAAACCTGACCTCTGAGTCACATCTCCAAACAGAGGGTCTTCAGAGCCAGACCATCCTGCTGTTGGAATGGTTAAAAGCAGCAGAGATATCTCTGCAAGCAATTTTTCACAGCTGATATGAAGCTGGCGAGGGCACTTTTGCACCCATTGCTGTCCCTGTGGGCTCACCTGGACTCACTGCTGCTCCCAGGAATGGACAACCCCAAGCCCCAGCATGGTAGCCCACACCTCCAGCACTGACCCAGCTACCAGGGCAAGCAGAGGCCAGCTGCAAACCCCTTTTCCTCTATCGGCTGTCACTTTGTTTTTTGGAGGGTCCCCAGCTCATGAAACCCACCGCAGCAAGTGCAGAGTCAGGCGTCCTTGTTTCACTTCATGTGAAAAGACATAGACTTTTTTCTGGGGAAACCCTGCTGAGTCAATGTGGTGTCTTGAAGGAAATAAAGACATGCAAAAAGGGCATCCTTAAGCTAAAAGCAAGAGATGGTAGACCTGTGCTAACTGCAGGCAATAAAGCTCAGGGAAATACGTTAAAATGGTGCTTGTTTTTCTGAACAGGCTTGTAGAATAACTGGAAGTATCTTCAAATTGTAGAAAATACCCTTCAACAGAAGGGGGTTTTTAATTAGGCAGGTTACATTTAGGAAGCAGGTATCCAGACTACAGACTGTCGCAGACAAGCAGGGAGCTGCTGCATAATTTTTCAAGCATTAGCAGTGGAGGAATATGCTTTTTCTGAATCCCCTGTGTTTGTCAAAACCAATTTCCTGTATTGATGCTGGGGTAAGGCATAGAAAATAGCCAGCCTGGCAGCTACAGAAATATGAGGATATTTGAAAAAGGATAGGCTTTTTATTTACCCTAAGTGACGGATATTGGCTGAAATGTGAAAAGAAATACAGGGGGGGAAAAGATGTGCTTCATTATATTTTCCTTTTTTTTTCTGTTTTCTGCATTTTCTTCCTGTCTTTTTATATATTTTGGACAAAGTGTGTCTGGTAAGTCTAATTTTTTAAAGATTTTTCTATTGTCACTGCTCTTCTTGCAGCCCTAGTGTTGAGAGTATGTTGTTTGTGCGCCAGGTTACATACAAGAGTCACCATACTGGCTCAGATCAAGGGTGCATCCAGACAAATATCTGATTCCCTAGATTCATCATGCCCAGCTTCAGAAACTCAGGTTTTGTGTCTAGATTCATCTCGAGTCAACACAAAAGAGTTCAGTGACACCAGCACATGGATTATAAGAGCTCACAGATGAAAAGCAATACCAGGCAAACAGAGCTAACGTTGCAGGGTTGCTTCTAAGTTGCGGCGAATACCTTCTGTCTCTCTCCACTTACAGAGAGGTAGGCAGCTAAAATTAAGAGAGATTAACCCAGGCCCTGGTAATGCTCTATGAGGGTGCTGTACAAGAAGCTCAAGAATTAGAGCAACCTTTTCCAAGCCATACCCTCTCAATTTCCTCCTGTCCAGGATCCAGACTTTGAGATGCTCTGCATTTGACATGTTAATTTTTCCAAGACTTCCTCTAGTTTCTTAACTGATATATACCTTTGGCAGCTCCACCTTCTGCTACCAGCAGGTTTTACTCTTCCATTGGGTACTGCAAAAAAGGGCGCTCCCTTTTGTTTTAGTTGTACCATCTGACAGCTCCCTCCTATTCTCCTGAGCTGTAATAACTATCAGCTCATTGTTTCTACTTTTCTGGCTGTCACACAGAGCTCCAGCAATGGAAAAAGGTTGTATTGCCTTGAGTAGTCACTGAAGTCGGATCTTGTGTAGTTGGCAATGTCAAACGTGAAACACGAGCTAAGTGGCTCGCTCTGTGTTTTGGGGAGCAGACTTGAGCATCTCCAGCTGTGCTTTTCGGGTTAATCCTTTGACTGCCTGTCATGGTTTCCTGGCAAAGGGTGAGCGAGATGTGTTTCATCCTCTCACAACCTCCATGCAAGCCATTGCTGGCAGGGGTGGGCAGAGAGCTACCCCTACCATAAGAGCGGGCAGCACCTCCTTCCAAGGCCTTGATGGGAAACCACTGCGAGGAAGGTTTTGTGTGAGCTTTTTCCAAAGTGGTGGTGTTTATGTTCAAACAATTGTGGGTTTTTTTCAAAGTACTTAACTTTTGAGCACTGAACTTAGTTTGATCCTTGTCATTTGTGGGTCTGGGGGAGATCTGGTGAACAAAAATGTATGAACACCTGTCCTTTCCTTCCTTTCCTAGGATTTTAGATAATGGGCTGTGTGCAATGTAAGGATAAAGAAGCAACAAAACTGACTGACGAGAGGGATGGCAGTTTAACTCAAAGCTCAGGCTACCGCTATGGGACAGATCCCACTCCGCAGCACTATCCTAGCTTTGGTGTGACTTCAATCCCAAACTACAACAACTTCCATGCTACAGGAGGCCAAGGACTGACTGTGTTTGGTGGAGTCAATTCCTCCTCTCATACAGGGACACTGCGTACAAGAGGAGGAACAGGTCAGTTTCAAAGTTGTCTTTCAGTGCTCTTAATGACGATCAAACACAGCAGAGACACAACTGTCTCAGTATGCTGCTTTTGGGAAGAGTTCTTCACAAAATAGTTTGAAGACCTGAAGCAGGGGCGGAGTTGGGTTTTCAGCCTTACCCGTGCTAACTTGCAAGTGCTAGTTCGCTTGGGGAGTGAGAAATAATGTATACATGCCCAATTTGGCTGACTACCTGCCTCATCCCTCTACCAGGTGTCTGACACATCCCAAGCAGTTAACAGGAAATACTTGGCCTGGTCTAACATCTTTCTTCAAACCCCCTTTGTCCACTTGGGATCCTACACTGTGCATAGGTACCAAACCAAGAGTACTGGTGACCATACAGAGTGAAGGACGTGGTGTGCTGCTAGCTGCATAAAAGCAGAAGGATTACAATAGGAGTCAAAAAAGTAGGAAGCTTCAATTTATTTTGCTCATCAGCAATCAAAGAGGCTTAGCCACATCATCTCTTGATGCTCCTTTCCTTCCCGTTTTTTGTGATGGAGCGTAACTCACCTGTGTTCTTCTTTAGGTGTAACTCTTTTTGTGGCGCTTTATGACTATGAAGCAAGAACAGAAGATGACTTGAGTTTTCACAAAGGAGAAAAGTTTCAAATACTTAACAGCTCGTAAGTTTTATGCTTGGGAATATCTTTTTTAATATTTTTAAACTTATACTGTTGACAGTTATATTTGTCTGCTTGTGTTATTAGTAAGATCTAATGTTGGGTATTGTTGGTAATGTTGGTACAGATATATAGGGGGGTTACTCTACACTTGTCTTTGCATTTAGCACACTTTTGCAAAGTGCTTTATTATTGAAAAACCAAACCTTCAACCACATGCAGCTTTACTTCAAAGATAAGCATTGGATTGTGTGATTCACTGCTTAGAGTTCACAGCAAACTCACATTTAGGACTGAGAGTACTAGCTCTGTACTTTACCAGTAGACACACAAGTTCTGCATTCTGCAAGACATGTACTAGCACTTTTGCAATCTGCTTGCAAGTACCTCTACACAGAAACAAGCTAAAAACTGATTCGCAAAAGAGATGTTACCCAGGTTTGTATGCCAAGTTTAAAAGCTTTTTTTTTTTTTTATTTTAGATTTTGTAAATGCACCTTTTAAAGGGAGGTGGCAGAGTCAGAACACACTAGGAAGTTCTGTTAAGTGAGAATGTGTCATTGTATAGTTGCATTTGATATGAACACCACACTTCCATCCTGAAAATCATCAATTTAAAATTAATTTTATGAACTGCCCATAGAAAAAAATCCCTTAGCAATTTAAAAATAACATCTGAAACTTACTGTGCTACTGACCTATATCTGATCATCTTGTAGTTCTTGGCTAAGAACATGAAGTTGAAGGCTCTGTGCTATGGTTCAGTATTGATACCATGCCAAGGTAAAAATGGGTTAACAACCAAGTATGTCACTTTCTAGAGGCTTTGTGATGTTGCTCTCCTCTTTTTTCCTAACACTGTGTGACAGAGAGTCAAATTCCTCCCTGGTGTGACTCCTGTTAATTTAAATAGAACAACTCCAGGGTTGGAGTTGGCTCAATGTGCATAAAAGTTAAACAAAAAAATAAAAATCAGGTAATTCTGTGGAATATTTCATGAAGCTATGAAGTGGAAGAGCTTTGATGTAGATGAAAGCACAGAAACTTCAGTTACGACTTGTAGAGGGAGAAGCAGATTAAAAACCTCTACTTCTAAATTAGCACTTGGGAAAAAAACCTTTTTTAACCTATCATCCCTTTTTGTTCACATTGCCTGCTGCTTTCCTAACCTTGCACAAACTGTGCCATAACTTGAAACAAGAAGAATTTCTGTGCATTATAAGTTCTTTGCACCCGCCAGCTGATGAAAGCAGGGGGTGCTCACCAGGGCTTGTGGAGCAATCATACTTGGGGTCACTGGGACAGAGAGATTCCCTCACATGTGGGTGGTTGCAGTACATGCATTTTGATGCAGGTTATGAAAAAAAACTCCAAACCAAACCAAACCAAAAAATACACAACCATCCACTGATTTTCCTGTAGGGTTATAGAAGCTCAGTTCCCATCACAGTCAGCTCTGTCTGCTTATAAACATGGAGCTAACCACACTCCTGGAGTAGTGAAAGCTGGGCCGGGAATCTCCAGAAAGCAGCTTTTCTGGAGAATGCTTCCCCTCTTCACTTATATCAGAAATTGTATGAAAGAAGGCCGTTTTTTTAAGAGTCTGCCAATGCTGCTTGCAATCAGAAAGCACATATGTGCACAAAGGTAGTTTCTCTGGAATTTTTGGACTGGTTTGGATTTTTTTCTTTTAGTTGTCAACAAACAGTATTTGGTCAATGTCCACTTGAAGTGGCATACAAAGTGTACCCCTGTGATTTGAGGTCAGGAATGATACCAAGGGCAGCCTGGGGGAAAGAGGTACCTGCAGGGTTGGTTCAGAGCAAAGCCTGACCTCAGGGCTCAGAAATACTTGGCCATCCCCAGCATCTCCACCGCCACTTCTGTGCACCCTGGCTCACCCCATTGACTAGCCTCCTCCTACCAGCTGGGAGTGTAAAATTAAGAGCTCTGAAAAAAGTCTGCATTCCTCTTCCTTCCTGGCAGTGCTTTGAGAGATTTAAGCTTCTCTGTCAAAGCAGAAGGGGTTGTTCCTGATGTTGTGATCATCTACGAGACTGCTTTTTCCTCCCTAGATATGATAAAATACCTCCATCTAGTGGACTCTCTGTACAGTAAGAACAAATACAATGGTACAATTTAGCAGCCACAGTACAGCATAATCTCTCAGAAGTATTCTACAGCAACGTATAGGGGAAGGGTTAACACTTGAGCCGGTAAAATTAGGGACTCAAACAAACAGTGCCATTTGTCTGACCCACTGAAGCACACAAGGTGTATTAAAATAGAATCACATGCCAGCCTCCAGAAAAGCTACTTGTTTTTCACTCTTTTTGAACTGTAGAATTGGAAATGTCTCCTTTTTGACTAATCACAGATGTTTCCTAGTTGTTTTCCATAGAGTTCATACTCCTTCAGACTATTAAAGAAAATGAAGTTGAAAATTTAAAGTAAGAGCTCACCTTGACACAATCTTTCCTACCAGTAATAGCTTAGACAATGTGTTTCTGTAACTGCTGGCTTACAGAAGAGGCTGAATTCTGTGGACACATTTGATAATATTGTTTTATATAGTGAACAAAACTCTGTATTACAGAGGGGGAACTGAGGAAGAGTTTCTAAGCAGTCTAGAAACAGAAAATAAGATGTTTGTTAGTATCAGTAGGAGTTAAACATCAGTGAATCTAGTACTGAGAATTAAATACAAATTACTAAATCACAAATCATTGCATTCTGTAAAAAAATAAACTTCTCCTAAAGCTGCACATTCTACAGCAACGCACATTGTCTAAAGGGCAATACCATGTCCCACTGTGCACACCAGTGTACAACAAAAATTGATGCTTAAGCTTGTAGAACACTGCTGTAAGATGGTCCTGCATGGGCCTCTTCATATTTAAATGTTGTGGGAAGATGTTTTTTGTATTTGAAAATGCAGCTAAGTCCTTTGCTGCTTCAGATACCTCCTCTAGGTGGCCAGGAGAGGGAATCTAGACAATTAAATGTCATCCTTAAGAACCATCTAAAACTCGATGTTCATAGATTTCATAGATGGCTTTTTGATGCCTTTTGGGTGGCAGGTTCATTATCCACAGTTTAGAATTAGCAGAGGATGTGACAGTGTGCCGTGGTTTAACTCCAGCCAGCAACTAAGCCCCACACAGCTGCTTACTCGCTCTCCCCCACGTAGAATGGGGTAGAGAATCAGAAGAATAAAAATGAGAAAGCTTGTGGGTTGAGATAAAGACACTTTAATAGGTAAAGCAAAAGCTGCACACAAGCAAAGCTAAACAAGGAATTCATTCACCACTTCCCATGGTCAAGCTTGTGTTCAGTCATCTCCAGGACTCCACACAGCAGGACTCCATCATGCGTAATAGTTACCTGGGTAGATAAGTACCATCACTCTGAAGATTGTCCCTTTCTTTTCCTTCCCCCAGCTTTATACACTGAGCATGACACCATATGGTATGGAAAATACCTTTGATCAGTTGAGGTCAGCTCTCCTAGCTGTGTCCCCTCTAAACTCCTTGTGCACCCCCAGCCTACTCGCTGGTGGGGTGGTGTGAGGAGCAGAAAAGGCTTTAACTCTGTATAAGCACTGCTCAGCAGTACAAAAACATCCTTGTGTTACCAACATTGTTTCCAGAATAAATCCAAAACACAGCCTCATACTAGCTACTACGAAGAAAATTAACTCTATCCCAGCCAAAACCAGCACACGGTGTTCAGTCTGGTAGCTTTTCTATAAGCTCTCTCAAGGGTCTGTATTAGAATAATTGCTATGGAAATGGTTTTCAGTATTCTAGTTTAAATCCAGCCCTCATCAAACTTGATTTTGCTGTTTCTTATGCCTGTTTATGCCATTATGCTATGTTGGGAAGGCTACATTACTGATCACCACTGAAATAATAATAGGTGTAAAGAAATACGTATATTATTTGGGTTTAGAGGGAAACAGCTCTGTCAGAAGCACATCATCGATAAAGTGATGAATGGCTGTGGCTTCTTACACTACACAGCTGTGGGTACTGCTAACATTAAGTCAGATTGTTGTCTTTACAGCTGTATCTCACTCTCACTTCTCCTCTTCACCTCTATTTCTGCAGGGAAGGAGACTGGTGGGAGGCCCGGTCCTTGACAACAGGCGAAACTGGTTACATTCCCAGCAATTATGTGGCTCCAGTCGATTCCATCCAAGCAGAGGAGTATGTTTTCTTTTTGTTGTAAAGAGCCACTAGTGTTGTGTTTAATGGAGGTTTAAGGAGTTGGGTTTGATTGATTACAGCGATTTTTCAAATGACTTACATTATTTTTATTTCAATTCTTAACTTCACTGATAAATAATTAGGTAATTAGTAACAAAAGCAGCACAATCTCAGTGCTTTTTCAATGTCAAAACAAAGGAAGACACCTAAAGGAACATAGGTCTGCTTCCTTTCTTTAAGTGTCGGCTGATTTCAAGCTTTAAGCAAAAGGTGCCCTTGCTTTTCCTGAACCAACTTGTAAAAATATTTGGACTCAATTAGTGTGCAAACTGTCTATTATAGAAGTGATGTTGTTTCACCAAATACCTACCAATAGGAAGGATACCTACAGTGCATTCAGCATAATGAAGACATATTTATGTGAATAATGGGGCACTGTGTGTATCCATATTATTTCCAGTATAAAAGATACAATGGAGGAGCTTATGTAGCTGAGCAGGTACTGCCACAGTCTGTACTTCAAGTTGCACTTGGTTGGTTGTGAAACCAACCAACCAAACAAAAAAATTGCTGCAGGAAGGAAAAAAGGTACCAAAACTCTGAAACCACTAAAGTGGTTGTATCTGGTCCTTCTACTTAGGTTTTATAGCTGTGCTGCAACAAAGAAATTGAATACTAATGCATCAATATGTAAGTCAAATATATAGTTTATAGCAACATCTGTTAAAATACCGCTCTTTGGCAGCAACCCATTTTTCTGCCCTTTTCCATGTCCATCCCTTCCCACCAAGTCTTGTTTTCTGTTTGTTGAAGTCTGGCCTTTGTCGTAAGACACCAGACGAGCATTCTCAGCCTCTGCTGGTTATAGGCTTGATGCACAGTGCTACTTCACAATGTATACAACATCTAACACACAATTTGTCACATTAGCTTGTCACCACAAAAAAAAGAGACACAGTAGGACAAAAATGGTTGAATATACTTGAGTAAACATAGTTTCTGCAAATAATCCTCCATGTCTGAGCTCTGTAACGCTACCTAGTAATCCTGTGTAGCATTTGTCTTACTATTTCTGATGTTTCCCTAAGGTGGTACTTCGGTAAACTTGGCCGAAAAGATGCTGAGAGGCAGCTGTTGTCATTTGGAAACCCCAGAGGTACCTTCCTGATCCGGGAAAGTGAAACTACCAAAGGTAGGCTGGCCAAAGCTATTCTGACTATGAATGAGAATATACACGAGAAAAATTGTGCTAAGTTTGTGAAATACTGTTTTCAGTGGTATGAAGGTAGAGAGAAGTGCCATTTTGCATATGTGTGTGCTAGGGAATTAAATGTCTGGACATCCCAGGTCTTAAAAGCGAATGTTTAAAACAGAGAACCCAAGTGCAACTGGTGTCACGCTCAAGTCATGCACAGGCAAGATGCTCTGCTCTGCTGTCACACTCTGAATGAATATTGCACTGTCTCTCCCAATGCGTTTGTTAAGGATACTGCTATTGCAATGGAACTGGGTGGAGACTGGCCCCTCAGGGCACCGGCTATGGGGCTTCAGGAGGCAGGGTTTCCATATTTGGGTCCAGGCACAGCCAGCTGGCTTACTGTGAACAGATGCTGGGAATCTCCAGTCTAGTTTGGTGAAAATTACTTCTTACTTCTGAATATGCAGAATATTTGAATCTTCTTGCCTGGAAGATGTAAGATAAGAGTCTGGGGGGAGGGAGGTACTGGTTATTACTTTAGGAAGATTAGGGGATTTTTTGGCCTTTCCCCTTTGAAATGCTGGATCCCTGCGGGGGAGGAGGGAAGAAAAAAAAAATTAGTTATTTTTAAATTCGTAGATTAACAGTGAGAAGACTTGAAAATATTTCTAATTAATATATTCATACAGTATTCAACTGTATCCATTCTGTTGAAGTCAAGTGGAAGGGTGCCATCTCCTCCTTCCCTCTAAAAATCATTGGAGTAGTTCCAGTCTTATTGGTGGGTGTTATCTTTGCTTTTACTTCTGTTCATGAGGCCTGTCAACATCTTCTTCAAAGTATGAAAAGATCTCTCTAATTCACACAACTATTGAGGAGAAAACCACAACTAAGTAAAAACAAACCTGGCCATTCTCAATTAACCAGCAATCCAAAACTAGCTGTGGGAAGCTTCAGTCACTAGAATTAATTCCATGTAAGTTCTGAAGTCTAATGATGGTTCATGTAATTAAAGCACTGACTTGTGAGTGCTTTGATCAGAGCACATGCTGTCAGCTAGAGTTAGCATGCAAAGTGGCTGGAGTCATGGCTCGTAAAGGGGTTTAAAGAGAAGCACTACTTCCCACTCCTCTCTACCTGACCTATCTTTAGTGCTGCATTCTGTCATCTGAAATTGTAAGTAAGTTTCACATTTTTGACTCCTGCAGTCACTGGATTCTTCCTTCACTGCCCTTGACTTTGAAGACTGTTTCTGATGCAAAATCTGTATAGACATGCTGTTGTTTCAGACAGATAATTTCCCATCCTGTCACCACACAGCTTCCCCATATCTTATGTAGCAGTGAGGCATTCTCACCAGGAGCAAGACAGGCCCTAACTTGCTTTTCTCCTGCAAATAGCCTCCACCTGTTTGTTTTCACCAACAGTTGTTGTGATGTGTGCAAGGAACAAGATTTCATTCCACTCTGTGCCGAAAAGTTTAAGAACTCGTTCATATGGGCATCCATGGATCTTAATACCAAACACAAAACTGTTTCTCTAAACCACATTATCAGTGTAGTCTGTTTCCACCATTTTTTATACACTGATAGGGGATATGTTTTGCAGGGCTGCTTACTTAGCTAAGTCAGGGCTTTTTTTTCTAGAGCTTCTTGTGAGACACAAAAAGCGTTGCAGAAATGGAGTAATCCATCATGGGCGTACTTTTGCAGCAAGCTTAATTTCTCTGCATTTTAACTTAAGGCTTCATACATCTTCAGGCTAAGTTAGCATCAAAGCCATTGGAAAAAAAACAAGCATGCATGGGTTTTGCCAAAAATGCCTATTTCCCTTCTGATCCTTGTGGTGTTTCAATATGTTGTTAGAAGAAAACAGAGGGAGCTTGTTGTTCATAAGAAAGAAAAAAGTCAGCTGGGAGGGCTCGAATGGTGCATTCTCCCATAAGTCTCCTCAAAATGCCCTACCCCAGCTAGTCATCTTGGGCTTGAGGCAGGAATTGTTTTGTAACCTAGAATTGTCCATTCTGTTTTAAGTAATAACAATAATAAAATTAATCAAGATCATGTTAAAAGTATCATTGTGGGTGACTTCAGCATGAATTTAACCTCCCTTGATCATGGGTGCATTCACTTCTTACTTCCAAAATAAATCATATGGACCTGGCTTTTCATTTTTTCAGTGCCTGACTATCCAGGTACTTCATCAGCTGTTGCTTGTATAATCCTTCACCTGGTTTCAATCTCCACCCTCCAAGGTTGTCTGGTTTTAGTTTTGTTAGGTTTTTAAAAATTCATTAGTATAATATATTGTAATGTCTTATTTCTATCCAAATTTTTATTAGGTATATCTCTTATATTTGAATTTATCATCAGATAATAATGAATAGTATAAATAACCAACAGCCTAAATAGACGAATAATGAAATCCATCTTGGTTCTTGTTTTTTGTCCAGATTTGAACTAAAGCTCCAGTCCTGCAACTTGATCTGAGGTCAGCGGGGGTCCACAGAGGGCCACCCACATGGCTCTGATTGCAGACCTGGAGCCACAGATTGTTTACATTTTCCTAAAGAATCTAAAATAGTGACCAGATAGGCAGGGAGCGTGACTAAAGAAAATACAGCTGCTGCCAGTGCATCAACTCACAGAAGTGGAGGTGGAGAACACTGCCTGGAAAGCTTTGAAAGGGGGCTGACAGTGTTCGACCCAGAATGGTGGTACAAACCATGCGCAAGATGTGCTCGCAAACCCCCCAGAAGCTTTGTACCCCTAGCTGAGAGGGATGTACGTACTCAGTGGGAGATGCTCGTCAGAAAAATATCCCAAACAAACAGTGTTTTTCTACACTTAGGAATAAAAGCCTTGTCACTCCTCTCAGGGTGTCTCCACTCACATAAACCAGAATCGTCTGTGTAAGTGCTGGCTCTTTTCCTCCTATTTAGAGGACAAACAACGGGGAACTTGAGAAGTCCTTGGAGTCAGGGTGGAGACATTTTGTCCACTGGAACTCTCCCGGTGGCGAGCCACCCGTCTGCGTGACCTGTTGCAGGTTAATGTGGTCAGGAAAACTCTTCCCTGAGAACCATCCAGGAAAGACATCTTACACCAGGAATCTGAACCACCTGTGGGGGGTTCTTTAAACCATTTCACTTAGCTGGAGATGGTTCTGGAGGACGTGAACATGCCAAGCATGTTGAAAAGTATCCTGACTTGGGATAAGCAGCAGCTGGTGCTGTTACCTATCAGACCTGTAAGAAGTCACTCCACCTTCCAGTTTGTACAAAACCGTCTGCCAGTGGTTTTCCTTTCCAGCCCTTAGCTGACACAATTACCAGTGAAAGCAGCCTAGGCTGCAGAAGGACTTTCCTCACATCTCTCCAGTTCAGCAGAGATCCGCTGCCAATTATCTCCAGGGGTTTTTTTCCTTTTAATGCCTGAATTGACTTTGAGTAAACATAATATTTGTCTGAGTCGTAAGTGAAGACTTTTCGTCTCCATTGCCTTTAAAATGGCCACACTTTTACACAGAAACTGCATTATGCTGTAAAATGTGGTTTTGCTGTTGATGCTGTAGAGAACCAACATGTGGGTGTCACTGCATGTAGAACAGGACTGTGCTTCAAATTAAGACACCTGAATGGGTAGGTGGCCAGCCTCCCTTTACAGTAAGCCGGATGCCAGGATTCAGTTCAACTGCCCACAACTACAGACACCTAGTGCTGAAACCTGCATTACACCATTGGTATCTACGGTGCCATAACGCTCATGGAAACTGGGCTACGATTCAGCTGCCCTAATAGCACCAGAAGCTATTAGGGCATCTAAATCAAGCACTTAGCCCACCTGCAGGCAGCTGCTGCTACACCTAAAACTACCCCACAAGTGAGGTTCCTTTACCTGGCCATGAGGATCCAGAGCTATTTGAAATGCCCGAAGGGCATCGACGTGGGTTGGATAAATTTGACAGCCTGTGGGAAAACTGCCAAGCAGGATGTCCTGGGGCATCTCCCATGGCACTCAACCATGTGTTTGAGCATCTGAATCCCCCCAGTAACCTCTAAAGCTCTGTCATGGATTTGGAAAGTGAAACATGTAGTTATTGCAGATCTCCTGGTGCACACAGTCTTGGTGTAATACCACCTTCCAAAGACTGTGACATACAAAGCATGCTAATTTGGTTGTTTAATGTTTATGAAGAAGTTTCAGGTCCATCTGCCTAACACTACACATATATAAAGTCATTATCTCCCATGCTTCCGATGAAAATCTTGATATTTACCACCCACTGGCATTTACCTGAAGTATAGTATTTGCAGGGTAACCTGACACTTAGAACAGGAAAAGTCAATTTAACAACCTGAAGCAGTAAATGTTGAAATGTGACTTTTCATTTACACAGAAGTCCTGATTTCTTTCTAGAAAAGTGTGGAAGGAACGTGGTGTGAACATCATAAGTTTTCTGTGATACTTAGTTGCTGTGATACTGTGTTAGATTCACTTGTTCTTTTTCAAAGTACAAGCAATTTCTCTTTCACTTTGTAACAACTGACCAGCAAACCCAAACCTTCGTGTCTAAAAGCTACTTATAATTTTTTACTTCTCTTTTGTTTGGAATAGGTGCCTATTCCCTGTCTATTCGAGACTGGGATGATATGAAAGGAGATCACGTCAAACATTATAAGATTCGTAAACTTGACAATGGTGGATATTATATCACAACTCGGGCACAATTTGAAACTCTTCAGCAGCTGGTTCAGCATTATTCAGGTAATTTTTCAGATAATACATGGCACTCTGAAGTATTTTAAAACAAAAGTGTTTGCTGATGAGCTGATATATGCGTAGGATGCCCTAAAGAGCTATTTGAGTTATGACTCTTGCTTGTTGTAATGCATCTTCCATTATCCCTTTCCCATTACAGTTATAAATGGCTTTGAGTGCCATTCGCAGTGTAGAGGGGCAGAGCTTTTAAAAGATAGCACTCTATGAGGTAAAGGTTTTGCCTGCACTCCCTTTTTTAAGCAAACAGAATTACTGAATCTTATTTGCACATCTAAAAGAACGAGTTCCCTGTGCATAAGTGAGTGTACACTATTCCTATATTTTCCTATTCCTATATATTTTCCTAATAAAGTAAACAGGGAGCTGCATTGTGGAATTCAGTCACCTAAAGCAGTGTCTAAAAGGTTTGCATGTTTCATCTGACTCAAATTTTCCCACTGGATTTCTGTTCGATGTGCAAAGTATTAACATTTAAATTACAATCGGTCTAATTTAAAAAACCCATGGCAAGGTGGGTGTTTCTTTATGCACAGTGTTTGTGTCCACCCTCCAAAATCTCTTTTTTTTTTATTTTTTTAAGTTCCTGTGATTACAATGTGGTGTGCACTATTCAATCCAAAAGTGCATCCTGCTGTCACTGGCGATTGCTGTGCAACAGATAAAAATTTAAAGCCTCCTCAAGCCGGTTACATAGGACAACTGGTTCTTAAGTAGAAGACTGCCATGCTACTCAGTATGGTCTTTCTTTTTAAGCAGAAATTTGTATTTTGAATTATTTTGCTTTTATTTTTTCCTTACTTTAGGTTTTCATAATATTAACAATGACCCCAAATGTTCACTGCTCAAAGAATTTTCTTTATTTTTACTTGGGAAATCAACTTCTCTCTGGGGTGTTTTTTCTATATTCTTTGTATTCTGTCTGCTGTATTCTTATGCTATTCATACTAGACATCTGGCTGTCTTCTCTGCCCAATTTCTGTGGGTGTATGCTGCCTGGGAGAATTTCTAGTTGTTTCTGGTGACTCTACATTAAGCTAAATAACGTATAAAAACTCTCATCTAAGAAAGATAATTTTCAACCCCATTATAGCAGCTGATATATGTCCACTTTTAGTTTTCCATGGTCACATTATTTGGATGATGCATTCTCCATGCACAGATGCAGAAACAAATAGATCTGGAAACAGATGTTTCTGTGCAACACAGAGGCATAATCAGTAGGATCCAGGTAGGGTAGTTCAGAAGGGCATGGTACAGGCCCACTCCAGAGGTTTCACCTGCAGTCTCCCAGACCCAGGCAAACACAGAAGCCCTCATTCCATGCCAGCCCCAGCTGATATAAAGGCTGCCTCTAACACATCCTGCTCCGCATTCAGAATTGTGGGAGGTAGATTAGCACAACACCTTGTGAGTGCCTAGATTTACTTCTAGGGACAGCTCAAAGATGCCTAAATGACTACATAAAGATCAACATGGTTCCTGAAGAACCACTGCTGAGACCGTAGATCAGTGCCTTCACAGCAGGACAGCTACGCTCTGCAGCCCACAACTTCAGAGTTGGAAGTACAAAGTGTACCTTTGGGCAGACGCAGTGCAGATGTCCCTGCACTATGCTCCCACTGCATTGCTGAGTACCTTTATTATTCAGAGTTGCCTCTTATCCCAGCCCCTTCTTACCTGGATAATGAAGTTAACTGCAGTGTCTGGACTTTCACAGATGAGATTTACAAATGAAAAATGTTGAGATCCCCAGGGTGTCCTGACGTCAGACTGAAGTCTGGGAACGACAAGTCTGAAGTTGAAGCACCATTACCTGATCCCTAACAGCCAGCATGTCAAGCATAAGCTCTTGTGCATGCAGTCCAGGCTTAACTGGACCACCGGCATGCCAAATTATATATTTTTTTTCAATTAAAGAAAAGAAGGAGATCTTAAAAACCTCCAGTTTCTTTCTGCAGCTGTCCAAACTCATAATGAAGCTTTCCAGATACACTGCATATTTTGAGTAGTCCCTATCCTAGTACTGGAATTCTCTCGGAATGAGACATCCCAACTGGTCAGCTAATTTTACCTGTTTTGTGGGACTTTGTTGTCTTGTTACTGGAGATGCAACAAGGTCCATGTCAGGGTGTCTGTAGGGACTTGTGTGGCATCCCATGACATTTGTACTGAGGAGGTAGAGCTTGGTGTTGCAAGGAGCTTCGGTGCTTGCCCACCTTGTGATGCTGAAACAAACTGTTCACCTGCCCAGAAAGAAATCTTGCACCGGAAAATAAAGATTATGTTTGAGTCTGAAATACAATTTCAGTTCCCCACCTTGTGCTGCTCTGCTGCGCTTGTTTTAAGACACAAGTTGCTGTGCAAGCTTTAGATTGTAGTCTGCTTTCTGCAGCATAGCATACTACACAACAATGTGTGTGTATATGTTTTTTTAAATATCACTGGTTTCACTCTTGCTAAAATACCTTGTGACTTTTGTCACAGTTCAGTCTTATGTAAAACTTTGCAAGAGCTGGGTATAATGAATCTGCCCCAAACGATGTAGGACGGGCTGCAAATGCTAGTAAAGGTTTGCCCTAGAAAGAATGGCAGGAAGTCTTTTACAGGACACCTACAAAAACATCTTTTCACAGAGTAGAACATATAAAATACCTTTTTCTAGGATACCTCGAAAAAATAAGCAAAAAAGTTCACCAGATTTCCATTGCTGTGATCTTCAGAAAAGGTGACTCTTCTCTGTGTTTCTTTTACTCAGTACAGAAACAACCCAGTTTGGGACTTAGAGATTATTTTTAAAAAGTTATACTGTACTATAGTATACCAGTTACTCATGAAGTTATCTTAATGCAGCATTGTGGTAAAAGGGAAATCCTGAATCCACAAGAGAAACCACTGGCAGTCACCTTGCATTTCAGGCTGTGGAAACAGAGACTAAAATATTTCCTGTTCTGTCTCAAATGAATATGTTTCAGTGTTCAATTTCTAATCTTCCAGGATGCTTTGTGGTATGCAACTAACAACTGTTGTGAGTAGCATTGTTTTTATGCTTACTGTTTTTGTTTCACGTCACACTTTTTTTTCTTTCTTCTCCTTTGCTGTTGGCTTCACTCTGGCTCCATCAGAGAGAGCTGCAGGTCTTTGCTGCCGCTTAGTAGTACCCTGTCATAAAGGAATGCCAAGGCTTACTGATCTGTCTGTCAAAACCAAAGATGTCTGGGAAATTCCACGAGAATCCCTACAGTTGATCAAGAGACTGGGAAATGGGCAGTTTGGGGAAGTATGGATGGGTATGGAGCAAAATAATTATTCTAAAATAGCTCTCTGTGTGGGAATTACAAGATGGAAGGTGAAAATGTGGGACAGTGTGACCCACAGGAGAAGAAAGAGCAAAGCTCAAGCTGTTAGGAAAAATGTCTTTGGAATCATGTCTTTGACTTTGAAATTCTTTAATCTTCAACTTTCACTGTAATTGATGGCAAAACAAAACTGAAATTCCGTGTTTCCTTGCGAGGTTTTGATTTTGACAAATTACCCCTGTCTTAATGATAAATCAAGGCTACATAGCAATCTATTAATTATACCAAGGAGTCTCTTCCTGCAAGCTAACAAAAAAGTCCTTACCTTCAGTATCCAAAAATCAGTGTTTGCAAATGAACTTAAATGTAGTACTGAGAGACAAGTCACCTTCCATCTTTCTCAATGCATGCATAATTTTGGATTATAAGTGTGTTTTTTTTATTAATTTCCTCTCCCATAGAGAAAGCTGATGGTTTGTGTTTTAACTTAACTGTGATTGCTACGAATAATACCCCACAAACTGTTGGATTGGCTAAAGATGCATGGGAAGTTGCACGTGATACATTATTTCTGGAACAGAAGCTTGGTCAGGGGTGTTTCGCTGAAGTGTGGCGTGGTAAGGCAGAGAATATATTTTGCTTTGGATGGATCTTTTAAGGCCCTCTTGGCAGAAATAAACATTTCAAGTAGAGATCTTAAAGCTAAAATATCAGAATAGTAGGAAATGTTAGTCTATATCGCCTAAAGCAGTCAGCTAAATAAGCTATGGGGAAACTTCTTTTCACTTGTACACACTGATATGAGAGGTTAGGGCATTTAGATCCATTAATTGCATTGGGTTTCTTTGGGTGACTACATAATTGCTAGATATTAAAATAGGAATGATACTGAACTTGTAAGGCAGCATGGCTAACCAGAAATTAATCTGGTAAGCAGACATTTTTCTTTCCCCATGTGTTTTAGCACTGATGGGATCAGACCTTGAAAATGCTTCCATCCGTTCTCCCAGTTTAAAAATAATGGCAAGCATCAGCAAGCTTGCCAAGCTAGCTTTCCTGCGCACCCACTTCTTTAAGTCTGTTTTGAAATTTGTATATGCAGCAGAACCCTGTAACTCAATGCAGAGACCGGGACAATAGAGGCAAGACTTGCCTAACCCAGCTGAACTCCCGCTTTGAAGTCCAGTAATATTGACATTTTCCAAATCCACTGACATCGTTTTCTGTGCACTCGCCAACTTTACTTACTGCCTCCCTCTATGGGCCTCATTCTTTTACTAACTGTAAAACAATAGCAATTTAAAATATACATAAATCTTAGTATGGCCATAGCATTGAAACACAATATAGTGTAGCCTCTTTAAAACGACCAATTCAAATAAAGAATCACTCTATGTCGTTTCTTCAGAAAAATTTGGTGGAGCAGTTTGACCTTCTTTTTGTTGCAGTGACACAAAAGTATGTACAACCGAAATAACCAACAGGCTCTCCTGGCTTCTTGCAGCTGTTTTCCATTGCAACAGCTACAGCAAGGAGCATGGCAGCAAGTCTGTGAAATTTACAGAGTCTATAGACTAGAAATATACAAATGTATTGAATTTCACAGAATTACAGTTGACCTGTTTCAAAGAAAGCTACCTGTGTTTACTGTTAGTATCCCCAGATAACTGCAGTTTCACCTTGCCCTCCATCTTGAATGCATGCAAGAGTTTCAAGTTGAGGTCAGCTTTGTGTGCCATAGATCCTAAACTGATACTATAGGCTCAAGGAACTAATGCAATTAAAAATGAGAAAGATCGGCTATGAGAAATGAAGTGCCAAATACTAAATATCTGTCAGAAATGTGGAAATTATGATTACAATTATGACATGTTTCTTAATGTATAGTATAAATATGTTAACAGCTCAGAAACATTACCAAATTTGAATAGATTAACACAGTAAAAATTAATTAAAAATGCATGAAGTAGTAACTAGCTACATATGGGAGGAATTCAGAGGGAAGACTGTGCTACTTTTCTATTAGAGAGAAACACACCAAACCACAACAAGAAAATCTAACAATTTAAACTGAAATCTGGGCTGAGAGGATAAGTTAATCTTTTTGTTTGATTATGGGGTTTTTTAACTGAAGAAATTCATAAAAATGTTTAAAAATATAACTGCTGAAAACATTTCATGGTAACAGAACGAGTCCTGGGATTTTTATTAAGGCAACGCAAACAGATACTACACAGTTAATCCTTAGTTAACACACCAGGTAACATCCTAGTTTATTAATGCCCTGGTGCCTGTGAAACTAGGGTTTCATTCCTGGTTCATATAATCTGTGGTGTCTGTGCAAAGTGGCTGTGACTGACAGCACCCTGAGGTCCGGAGCCCCAATGCCTCCAGTTAGAACATGCTCACTTTCACCCATCAGAAAAGACTTTGGCTACCCTGCTTGAAATTAGGACGCAAAACTGCATTCTTCCCAGCTTACATGGCAGTGCCATTAAAGTAGCTTCAGCTCTAATTTGAAAGACTGAGTGAAACTTAAGACCTGAAGAGTCCTCAGGAGCACTGGGATAGCTGTGGTAGTAACTTCAAGACATTATTCCAGCACCGGTAGAGGATACAGCACCCGGCATTGAGCTGGCAGAAGTAAAGCAGGGTATCAACTTGCACTGCACACTTTTGGCTAATATGTGCCTCAAGCCCCCACCGACAGCATTGTGTGTTGCTGTGGGGATTGCCCTGTAAGTGAGAGATGAGATAGGCAGTGGATCCCAACCGCTCCTCCCCTTTCCTCAGCCAGGCAAGGTGGCAGGTGGGACCTGACCACTTACGAAATACCCAGTCCAGCTCCATTTTGTGCTCCGGCATATCAGCTGAGCCCTGGTAACTGTTAATGTGCTTTTAACAAAGACAAAACAGGCTTATTTTACATATTGCCTTCCTGATGACATATTGATTTACAGAAACTAGATCTGAGTCTGAGCCTTCTGCTATCCTCATGCTTAAGTGCAGAGAAGCAATTTTTACCCAATGTGATTCATTCCTGATGTCATTTAGTATTGTTCTGCCTTATCACACAGCAGCTCCCTACCAACAGATCACAGGTCCCATTCAAAGCCATTTCAACCCTGGCTCTGAAGCAGGCTTCTAGCAAGCATGGGTAAGGGACAACCAGAAGGCACTAGGGAAGTGATATTTCTGCCCATTTTAATTTTCTTTCCTTTCTCTTCCCTAGTCTCCCATCCCCCCAGAAAATGTCAAGATAGGTGGGTGGTTTCCGTTTTTTTATTCCCAGTCCTCCTTCTCCCCCTTTCAAATACCCAGTGAAGCCCCACTTCTTGTGGGACACCCTGAGTCAGCCTTCACTAGCTGTCTCCAGGTCCTTGCACAACTGTTACACAGACGCTGCTACAGAAGGCTCCACAGGTGATGGCTAAAATGACTCAACTTGTCCATTTCAATGCTGACCACAAGTAAAGAACAAAGTAAAGCAGACAGGAACCACCTTGTTTTCAATCAGCAGCTGATGGGCTTCTGGGGATGAGGAAGAGAAGGAAAAAAGACACCTTTTGGTTTGGAAACACACCCATGTTTGTAAAATGAAATTGATTCAGAATTTGTTTCTTGGGAATTTTTCTTAGAGTATTTTTTCCCTCTGACTCAGAACAAAACCAGAATGTTTAAATGGCTTGCAAATGGAAAGTTCTGGGTTTAACCAGTTTTGTTATCCAAATCTGTGACCGAAGCTGTGTTGTTGTCTGTGGCAACTACTTGTTAGCAAGGGAATAGATGAAGATGGGTTTCAGCAGTCCTGTGTTTCTTGGTCACAGAAGGTTTGTGGACATTAGTGGAAACATTGTCTGAGTAGGATAACAGTGATTGTGCCCCAGTGCCAATGGGAATATTATTTGTCAGTATAAGAGAGAGAGACTAAAATACGAGGGAGGCGTGGGAGGAATATGACAGGCAGCATGGGAAAGCACACTTTAATGAAATAATTATATTGTGTCCTTGCTAGTTTATTCCTTGGTTACATTAGGCATCAGGCAGAAAGAGGAGCAGAAGATGTTTAACTAAATATCTGTGCTTGTAGGTACGTGGAATGGAAATACTAAAGTGGCTATCAAGACCCTGAAGCCTGGCACTATGTCTCCAGAGTCCTTCTTAGAGGAAGCCCAAATCATGAAGAAGCTAAAACATGACAAATTGGTCCAACTTTATGCTGTGGTATCTGAAGAACCTATCTATATTGTCACGGAGTACATGAGCAAAGGTAAAGCCAGAGCTGCTGCCCTTGATAGTATTTTTTATTTATTGGTATTTCTCAGGCATACAGAGGGAAGTGCAGTGTGATGCATGAACAGTGTATGAGGAGGGAGAGAGGGAACAGGAAGCTAAATTCACCTCTGGCTTCAGAAGAATAATGAATTCAACTCTGAACTGGGCCCAAAATGTGAAATCTATAGATGTACAAAGAAAATTTGTACTAGGTGGGAGAGAAGCTGGTGCAGCCTAAGTGATTCCAAATGCATCAGCATCTAAACTTCCCTGACAAGTGGAGATTTGATTCTTCTAGATTTGAATGATGTTACATGCTGCTTCCCAAGATGCTAGATTTTCCTGGCACCAGAGGGTTGATTTGACATCTTCTTCCAGTGTTTACTTGTCAGCCTAAGATTTCTGTGTCTTCTTTTAGCAGTCCTGAGTTCTGAGCATGCACCTCACTCTCAGATCACAGCTTAATTTTCAGTCCACCCCGTTTTAATTTTAATACATGATTTGCACTTACGATTCTTTCCCTCCGCTTTCCCCTTCCTTTTCCTCTTCTCCCTTCTCTTTTTCTTTAAGCTACTTAACCAGTAACGATGTAGTAAAATGAGAAGGAGAAAACTTTTTGCTCCATCAGATCTCCAGCAGGGGTGCTGAGAGCAGAGCAAAAAATCTGCTTGTTTTGGAAAAGCAAATGAACCAAATAGGAAACATAAGTTCTCACAGGGAAGTTTCACTGTACGTTGGAGGATACGCTCAGAAATTTTAAGTGCATTTTTTCAGTCTATGTGGAGTTGATTTTTATTTTCCTGGCAGGTGCCTGCCCACCTCCCTCCTCAGAGGCATCCAAGCCCTGACTAACTCACACTTTAATCATGTCTCAGTGACAAGCATGTGCTTTTTCCCCTTTAAAAAAACCCTTCTGAAGTATGTGGTTTATTTTGGCTTACTTTACTAGTTTTTACTGTAACAGTTTACATCTTTGGATCTGAGCTTGAAGCTGATGATTTACCAAGGGAGAAACTCCTAATCATCTGTCTTTTCCCCTTATTTATGAAACCAATTCACTTACTTAAAGGATACTGCCACACTTCTCTGCATACAAGATTGGGAAGGGTGCTATAGCATCCTAGGGTTTTTTGAAAAGCTACAAGGGACCTCCTTGCTTTCCCTTGCAGCTCAGATTGCTTTTGCTAAAATTGCTTTCATTCAGTCTCTGCTTTGTCTTCTCTAGTTTTGCTTACTGGTCTTCAAAAATTAGAGGTTTGTGCTACATTAGTTATGGGTTACCTTGAGAAAAAGCACTACTAATTTCTAAGGAAAATCAGCCTTTCTTAATGCTAGCCCCTTTGGGCTTGCCGGGCTCCAGGCTGACTTTCTTTTGGAGCAGGTTGAGCCGAGATCTGACTTTTTCCATAGCTTGTGTGGCTTGGAACCAATCTGATGCTTTGCAGCTAGCTGAGGCTTTTAGAAAGCAGCATGTATGTAGTTTCAAAAAGCAATGGAAAAGTGAAGAAAAGTAATTTTATTCAGTAACAGTCAGGAAAATTAAAGCAATGTTGTTTCTTTTCACTGCCACATTCCTTGGACTAGCGACATATTCTTCTGCAAGCCAACTTTAAACAAGAGTGAAACAAGTATAATAGGAGAATTCTAACATATTGTGGAGGGTTTTTTTAGTTTGTCCACTTGAACTTGAAATATTGCTGTCCTTAATATTAGCCATCTTGCTGCATCTCCATCCTGATGAATAGCCATTGTTTCCCTAACATCTATTGTGTCAACTTTGCATTTGCAGGGAGTTTGCTAGATTTCTTAAAAGATGGAGAAGGAAGAGCTTTGAAGCTACCGAATTTGGTGGACATGGCAGCCCAGGTCTGTCTTCAGAGTACTGAGCAATTACATGTGTAGGTTTTATAGCCTATGTATGTCTGAGTTCATTTTAAAATGCACTGATTGTGTTTCAT